GTTCGGGACATATGGTATAAAGCCTCATCACCACAATACAAAACTACATGTGCATAAAACTGCGTCAAATTATCTCGAATCCTTATACAGAATTTAACTAATTGAAATAATTCACAATCCTTATGTCGTGATCAAAATCAAGGACTGAATTATCAAAGATAACTATATAACACATTTCAATAAATGGCTAGAACGAATGAAGTTGTGTCGAAATAATCAGAGCAACTATTTTGAACATTTAATGAAATAAAATCTAGAATAGTCTATTTCTATATATTTTTTTTTCTCGAAAACTTCGTTACTTTTGGTATGCTCTGAGTATGAAAGATATTTTGCTTTTCATATACAGTAAAATCTGTACATTGTGAACTCTGTCGGCACGGATGAAAATCATTCAGTATAACAAGATGTTCATACCCGAAGAGGTCAAGCAAATGTAAATCATATTATCAGTTTTATAACTTTTTGCCTCCTATTATATATGATGGCTTCTATGAACATGTCTGGAGACTCAATTGACTATCAGCACAAGAAGCGCTGTACGGACAAACGCGATCAAACTCACAGCTAATTGTAATTTATTCGTGCCTTTGATTATAATCAAAGAAAAAGAAGTGGAAAGTGATCTTTTTCTATCCATAATGGCATGAACAATCAAGAAAGTATTACACAGAAAAATAAATGTTATTCATCATAAGTGAGTGCTAATATATGACGAGCATTTTTCTATATGTGATAGTTGGACAAATAATTGAAGTATATTTTTATAATTTTGATATTCTTTTGTATTTCTGTAAAAGCAATACGTCGAAAGATGCAATTTCTAAGCGAATATATTTTATAGAGATCAAAATTTATTTAACACCTTTTTGTAAATTTTTACAATTATTTTTTTGATACATTTTCAAAAGGTTTTATGAAGCATAAAACATATTCATCTATTTCTTTTTTAAGTGTTCTCAACAACAAGTTCAGATAAAAAGATAGTTCATAAAAGAAAGTAATAATTTGAAAAAGAAAAAGTTTTTCTACATTTTGTTTTATTTCAACAATTATCTCAAAAAAGAAAGTGCCACATTGTATAACAAAGAATTAACTTGTAGAAATATAACAACAAGAGATATAATCAAAATATATGTATTCAATAAAGTAAGAATAGATATCAAATTATTTCATTAATAGAGAAAAAACTTTCTTTTTTTTTCTCATAGAGAAATAATATTCATTCTTATTCTGCTTGAAAATTTTATTATTCAATCTTTATCGAAATCTGAAGGTACTTTAGTAAGTGAATATGGTCGTATATCAAATATACCTGATTTTCATATTCATGTTACCAATACTATTAGATTTGCTGATTGTATTCGTCAATGTGTTGATTTTTCAAAAAATTATAAGGAATATATAAATGAAGATTGTTTTGCATACAATTATGATATCGATAAATATACATGTGAACTTATACATTCAACTGCACCAATGAATTATATAATTAGTTTTCAAACACGATGGAAAACAGGTTTTAAATATTGACAAAAACTATATTTTATTATTATTTTTTTTATTGTAATCAAAAGCGCTTTATTTTCCTAAATAAAGACTACAGATTTCTTTTGTTTTTTAAATGAAACTAATACGGAATGTTTAAAAAAGGAATAGTTTCAACGTTAGATACAAAATGATCTAACCCAGAAAAAAAAAGTCTATCTTCTATTGCATGATATTGTTTGATTAAGAAGTAGCACCACCTTCATCATAATCTGATTTAAGTTTAGCTAATAATTTATCACATGTCTTTTTAGCATCACCAAGTAACATAGAAGTATTATGTTTAAAAAATATGGGATTATCAACAGCTAGAAAAAGCAAAAGATATTAACAAGAAATTTATTATTTAATATTTAATTTACCAGCATAACCAACACCAAGTGATCGTTTCATAACAATAATCTATAAATCATACATAACAATTCATAATTCTATTTTAAATTAATTAAAAAAGAATCTTACTTGTTTAGAAAGCCAAACACGAAGTACAGGCATACCAGCAATAATACTATTTGGGTCTTCTTCAGCAGCTGAATTAACTGTATCGTTTGCACCAATGACAAGAACAAGATCAGTATTTGGAAATTCATGATTAATTTCTTCCATTTCATGAACTATATCATAACTAACACCAGCTTCAGCCAATAGAACATTTAATTGACCAGGCATACGACCAGCTACAGGATGTATGGCAAAACGTACTGTTTTACCATGTTTTCGTAGTATGTCAACCATTTCAGCAATTGGATATTGAGCCTAACAAAGAAAAACAAAAACAAAATTTTTCATTATTCTAAATAATAGCTGTAATATAAAATAATTACTTTAGCAACACATAAACCATAACCTGGTGTAATAATAATTGATGATGCCTCTTTAATAAGATCAACTGTTTGATCAATATTTACTTCTGTATGTGTGCCAGTTATTTGCATTGCTTGTCCAGTACCGGTTGAATCGGTACTAAAAAAAACAAACATATATATATATATATATAGAATATTTTGCAATATCAATATAAATTATTTACCCATAACCACCAAGAATAACATTAGGTAATGAACGATTCATTGCTTTACACATAATATATGATAAAATTGCACCACTGCTACCAATAAGTGCACCAACAATTGTCATTAATGAATTATTTAACATAAAACCTCTATAAAAATAACCAGTATATATTCCAAAAAGATCCTGTTCGCGCAAGCCTTGCACGATTAAAATGAGAAACACGATGAAGAATATTATTGTCAATCACAAGAAGATTATTTTATTCTAGACACACTTTTTTGACCATCCTTTTACTTAATCCTCCAGCAATGTAATAACAATGTTGTGTATATTTTAAACGAGACGTTATTGATATACGATCTATGTAAAATTTCGAAAAGGGCGAATAGCTATTTTTGGGAGTAGAAACACATTGTGCACGGTACAATAACTACAAACTTCGGAAAGTTCAACTCGATTTTCAGAGAGAGTGGCTTCCAAAGTTTCACTTCATCAAACCTTTTAGATCGTGTTTCACAAAAAAATAACATTTATCGACTTACTCAGCACATAATGCCCAACCGGAATATGAATTAAGTACAGTAATAACAACAGGCATATCAGCACCACCAATAGCTACAGTTAATGTTAAACCCATTGTCATCGACAAAGCTGATGTTAAACCTAACATTGAAATGCCAACAAGTGGATCTGCACTCATCATATAATAAGTTAAAGCACCAACATTAGCAAGTGCTAAACCTAAATTTAATGTATGACGTGCTGGCAATAAAATTGGTGCACCACTCATAAGACCTTGTAATTTAGCATATGCAATTATTGAACCAGAAAATGTTATACCACCAATATATGTACCCAAAAATAAAGCTGTTTTAATAACTGATGCTGCTGGATCAAGTATAAAATGTTCACATTCAGTAATATAATGAGATATACAAGTAAGTACTGCAGCCATACCAACAAGTGAATGAAAAGCAGCTACTAATTGAGGAAGATCAGTAATTGCAATTCGACGGGCAACAAGTGCACCAAGTGAAACACCAGTAGTCATTATTGTACCAATTTGTGTTATTAATGGCATATCCAAATGAATTGCACCAAGTGTTGCAGCCAAACCTATTCACATGTCAATCGATTGTTTATCGTAACAAAAACTTTTTTTCTACAAACTTTATTTACCTAATGAAACACCAATCATACCAAGTGAATTACCAAGACGAGCTGTTTTTTGATTACTTAAACCACCAAGCGCGCCAACACAACAGAGTGATGCTGCTAAATATGCTAAATGATTTATATCATGATAATCTTGTTGACTAGCCCAAGCATAAACTCCAACTGAAGTTGCACCAGGTATTAAATATAAATAATTATATTCCGGTGGATCGGCTAATTAAAAAAGAAAACAAAAAATTATTAACACAATTCCTCTGATATATAAATGTGAAAGATGATATAGCTGCTGTTATTCATCACAGGAAGACTGTTTTAGGACGCATTCCTTCAACATTCATTTACTTAATCGTTCATAAATGCAATAAGGAAGTGGTTCATCTTTAATAATAA